GGGTAAGTTAATATCTCGGGAACCACGGAGTCTAGGAGGCTGAAATTTAAGACTAATGACCCCTGCCCACGCTCAACCTTCCTCATTCAAGTTTAGCGTTCTCGCGCTCTCGGTTACCACATACGGCCTCGCGAAAATTTTGGCGGGTAAACTATTAACTCGGGAATCACGGAAAGATGTTCTTCCCTCAAGGTTTCGAATTCAGCTTCCATACGCTGATGCGTGAAATTTTTAACTGTTTTCCGATGTTTGAACTATTTTTGCATAGACTAAGGTACAAAGCATTAAAAATCATTAACAGACAATCGTTCGATGGACTGAATTGTATAAAACGCATGATCGCACCGGCTAGTCTGGTGCGCGTTGCCATTTATTTAACTTATCTCCTATTCTGGGACGCTTCGGCTCCCCAGAGCGTCACCACCATTGTATGCATTATCTCTTTAACTTACTATGCATTAACAAATATGTATATAAGACGCGACGTCGTACACACACATATACACTCTTACAACGAGGGCACACACTAGCCTAATAAGCTAACACTTAGAATCGCGACATAAGTTTAACATTTTTAATAATTATAATTAACATTAAATTAAACTGTTTTAAACTTTTATACGCTAAATTAAATCAAACTTCAAATTAAATTAAATCCAACATTAAATAACTAAATTAGCATTAAATTAAAAAGTTACAAATTTAGCATCAAAATAATCAAAATTTGATAATTACAAGTAAAATTATCACATATTTTTAAACTGAAAAAATGAAAAAATCAAAAAAAAATTACCAAATAATCGGCACGCGTTATTGCTACTTCTTTGGTTTGACGACATACCGGGCCCAATTGCTCATCAGATATTCGTTTGATGAATGCCTCCAACTGTAAAAAAAGAAAAAATTCACCACACAGACAGCTTAAAAATAATAAAAACACCAGCTAGTTTCTTCGTAAATGCCCAAAAGGAAAAAAAAAATACCCCAAAAAAACGGCTTACTTTAGGCAAATTTTTAACTGAAACATAGATTAGGAGCTTATCGTATGGATTATCCATGCTCTGTATTTGGTAGCATTCCTCACCAACCTGAAACAGCAAAATACAGTGAGAAATTCATGTGATTTGGCATAAAATTCTACTAAAATTTCCCCTAAAAATTGCTAAATTTTATCAAAAACGATGGAAAAATAATTAACAAAATTTCAATCTTATAGCTCGATAAAGAAATTTCAATCCCATAGTCTTTTTACAGCAAATTAAAAATATCAAAATTTTGACGCATTAAAATTTAAAATATATCAATATATCAATTCAAAATATCAAAATTTCCTTTTTATAACATATCACTGGTTACCTTTTCTCCTTCCTTTTTACCCACTGCCATCTGAGACCAAAAAACTAGTGTTGAAATTTCCTAGCATGCATCCCTGCCCCACAGCGTGCACTTGTCCCCATCAATCAATTTATCCTCTTCCCTCCGTTTCGAAAATAGCTTTGAGTGCCTGCATTTGTACTGTCAGCCTTCCCACCAATATTACTTTCAACAGCTCTCCATTCAATTTTTCAACACACCTGCATTTTCTCTAACTCTTTTTCCATCTGCTTGTTCTAGCCCAACGTATTATGTATATACTGTAAATATTATTCATATCCTAAATCCATTTCTTAAACAACAAACCTATTCGTCAAAATTCCCCTTTTGTTTCCCTTTTTCTTTTTTCCCATCCATACCGTAACCCACCCCTATATCCCTCAAGGGATTTTCATAAATACAAAAGCTGACAGAGCTGAATGTACTTTTGTAAAATGATTAATGTGTTTTTGTATTCAGCGATTAAGCGGGATACAAAGGGGGTAAACATGCGAAACACCCCTTAGGGGCAGGACCAATCCTCCCCCTATATAACCCCTAGTTTCCTTCATTCTAGGCCTTTTCTTGGGGAATACATCAGAAACACGCCGGGGACTTCGATCCGGAATGCTCTTCAGTACACCCGAGTGAACATCCAGAACTTACAACAAATTCGTCTGTCTCCTTGTATGGCCCCTGTTCGTCTCCCACCAATTCTGCTGGTCCTCGATCAGGTCTTTTTAATTGTAATGTTGTTCAACTTATTTATTTTTCTAGCCAAGTTTAGATAAATTCATTATCATAAAAATCACGCTTCGCGCTTCATCTTGCCTAGTCACAACGACCCCGTAATACCTCACTACAACACATCAAAAACATTTACTATACTATGCCCTGTTTGTTCATTAAATATATGAAGATCCGATTATAACGAATAATCGTTTTATGAGTTTCATGCTACACGTTCTCCTAGATTGAAGAATAAAAACCATGAAATACCTCTTCTCGAAGATACGGCATTTGACTTGAAATCCATCTTTTAGCTGTTGGTCCACAACAAATATTATATGGCACTAGTTTGCCCTGGAAATGCACGGAAAGTATTTTTTGAGGGGAGAAAAAAACTTAACGCACAGTATTTTGTAAAGTTGCCAGATTTCACTCAGTACTGCCAAATGTGCCACTTCCTTGCGTTCAACGAAGTTAGAGAAATTTCTAAGTATAGCCGAATTCGCAGCAAAACTTCACAATAACTGCGCCAAAAGTAGCTCCAAACTTCCAAGCAGCATCAAAAATGCATTACAACAAAATGATTTAAAAAAAAAAAAAATAATTGGCCAACGCACGGGCTGCCCGTGCGAAGATGCGTTTTCTGCATAGTTGCCCGCAGTTTTTGTCGCTACCGGCATCGGTTTTTCGGCAAATGCTTTTAGCTAAACAAATTAAGATTGGCCATCAGAACTGTCAGGAAACACCCCTTAAACTGTTAACAAGGAACCTCAACCATTTGCGCAAGGCTTTACAGTTAAACAAGATGCTACAACAATAACAGTTCAATGGCTGGCACAGTTCAATGGAGAGTAACTCTACCCTTACGCGTAAAGCCAAAGGCTTTACTCCGCCAGTCCTTTAACAACCAGTCTCTCTACGATTCGTTCGTTCATTGGTTGCGATGTTAAATTTGTACAGATTCATAATTTGTTCAATTGATTCATGAAATTCATGATTTCATAATCATGATTCATTATTCCTGATTCATGATTAAAACAACCAATTCGCCCTCAAATAACCACTAGAAGAAATTGCCAGAATGGTACATGGACGATTCAAGAGGGCCGAAGTAGGTGGAAAAAGTTTCTGCGGCCGCTGATGGGCCAGACCATATCTTCCAGTAATTTTTAAAGTACCTTTTCCGGCGGAATGATTGCCATTGGGTTTCGCCACCTGTGAACCATTTCCAAATACTTCTATCCCCTCATACAGGGCGAATACGCGGAGTAGGGCAAGGGGGGGGGGGGTTGATTCTACTTTTCCTTGTTTTTCTTTTTTTAAAAGAAAAAAAACGGAATTATTTTCCTGCTAAGGAAGCAAGGTACCTTTTTCTTCTCCTCCAGCACGTTTTCGTCAACGGCGTTGAGCCAGGCGCGATCTGCTGCGCATACATTCATCACGAAATTCATTGATGTTTGCACCTGGCATTCATAAACAATGAATTCCGGTGTGGAATCGGTATAGCGCAGTGCTGAACTCGGATGAATCTGCAAAATTTGAAAGCAGTAAAAAAAAACATGGCTTAACAGGACGCCAATGTCTCAAACGGGTAGCCGACCAAACGATCATGCACTTTTATGCAAAAGCAAATCGTATGCATTTTTTGATATAAATAGGTGGATCCAGGTCGGTCTCCTTGCGAGAGGG